CCTGTTCTTAAATTCCTGGCTGTGCCCCAGCTAATACAGGCTGCCACTGAAGTTACTTCTAGTGAGATGTTATATTACTGGGATTATTTTGAACTTGAGGCCAAAGATACTTATAACCCACAAAATTATCATTCAAATGACTTTATAAATAGCAAACTATTCTGAAAATGTGTACCAGAGATGAAGGTCAGTTTCTAGATAATTATCACTTGCATCTATTTTTGTCCTCTCTATTGAGATTGCAGGTGATCTTTTATTCTGTTCTCTTTTTCCATGGTTCAACTATTTCAACTTACTCCTCAGCCTTTGGATGTTCAAGAAATACTTTCCATATTTTCTGATTAGAAAGAAACAGGCAGCTTAACTTAGAAAAGTATATTTAATATTTTATTGTTTCAATAATCTCTTGAAATTAGGATCTTAAGGAAAAACTTTACCTAGTCTTACAGAAAATCAAAATAAAATTAGTCAAGGTGAAAAGGAATTTAAAATATCCTCAAATTATTGTATTGGGTGATACAATTGATGGTTAATGTTCTAACTAAAACTGTTCAAAGAGAAAAAATTACATCTCAGCCTATTTCATGTTTCTTATACATACATGATTAATTCTGGTTTTGTTAATAAAGCCAAAACTATGAAACACTATACTTCCTTCAGAGCAGTATTTTAATACAACAAACATATTTTTTAAATACTTTCAGCAAACTATTTCAGAAAACAAATAGTACAAACACATCACAAATAATTCTAATTAAATGCATTGAAAGTGTTGAAATCACTTTGAGAAATGCCTTTAATAATTTTACACTATTGATAAAATAAGTTATATCTCACAATTTAAGCAATATGCTTTATCAAACTTAGAATGTCATTTTAAGCAACAATTAAACAATGTTTAAGATTAACTTCAGATAAACTCTTCTTTTTTTTGTGGTACTGGGGATTGAACTCAGGACCTTGTGCTTGCCAGACAAGCACTTATTCTACTAAGCTATCTCCCAGGCCCCAACTCTTTTTATAAATTGAGAATATTACACTCACTAGAATAAGCCTAAAATGAATCTTTTTCAAAATCACTTCTGATGTCTTCTGATAGAATTTTCTGGATCACTTAGGCTCCTACTACCTCTACCAGGACAATTTCAATAGAATGGATGGGTTGCTGCCTTCATCAAAAAATAAAAACATTATAAATTAATAAGTAGTAACAGCATTTAATATGAATGAATATTCATCAATTGAAATTGAAGTACACATAAGAATCTCTTATTTCAAAAAAAAATAATCTCTTATTTCAAAGAAAAAAATTCAAACATCCCAAGTTCCTAAGTAACAAAAGAGAAAGGCAAAACTATAAACTTAAGTATGTTTTAAAATGTACACTTTATAAAATGGATGTAATTCTAAGTTTTAGGATAAACTGGGGAGTACAAGTGTGTAGTCTAATGGCTCTTTCCAGTTCTCACCCAACATCAATTCCTGACAATTATAACCAGATAATCTGAATCCATGAAGTTATTCTCGAACTAGGAATAAACATGCCTTTGCTGTTCTAAAGACAAGTACCCATGTAAAACTACAATTAGAGAATTTTTTTTTTAAACAACTTAAAAGCTGCCTATATCCTACAGTCTAGTTTACTCTGCCTATATTTTAAAGCAACAAAACTGAAGATATGTGTCTTAGTTATTCTTCTCTCGTTGCTGGGACAAATACCCGACACTCACAATGAAAGAAGGAAAGGTTTATTTAGCTCACAGTTACTGGAGGTTTCACTCCATACTCAGCTGGGTCCAACGCAGAGCAGCACATAGCAGCAGGAAACCTTTCATGGTGGCAGCAAAGAGCAAGACCGCAAGGGAGAAGTAGCAGCAGCTCAAGCAGCTAGCTTCTCTTCCCACATTACATTGCAATGCAAATTACCTGCCCCAGGGTAGGGGAAGTACTCACACCTATGGGTACTTCCCAGTACTTACCCACCTATGGGTAATCCCAGCAGAACTAAGACCCATAATCCCAGCCTTAGATCACACATAATCCCAGTGGATCATGAGTTAACACAAATTCTAGAAGTCCTCACCCCATGACTGCATGAGGCTTTGGGGGGACAACTAGACACAAACCATAACAATATGAAAGATTAAATTTCTGGCCCTCCCATTCACACAGCTAGTTCAAGGTCAATCATCAAGTTGTCCAATTATTTCTAATATTATACGTCCCAATTATGTCTACACAGACTCACAGACTATTAAATGATGTTCTAGAGAGGGAGCAAATTGATCACAGCCTCATGAATGAGAATAGAAAGAACCCACCAAATAAGACAAACAATTAAACACAGGAGAATAAGAGGTATACAATAGTAGTCTTTCATTTATTCTTTTGTGCTCAGCAGCAAAGTATTTCCAACAGCACACTCTACAAATGGACTTCTCTTCCACCCTATGAGTCATAATTCCACCTGAGTCTACAGGGTCTATTTCAAAGAAATAGCTGTAGCTCAGTCCTACAAGTGACTCCTGGCCACCAGTAACTGTCATGGTCATTATGCATGTCCACAACACACTAGAACTTTGTACAATATACTATCCTCAAACTGTTAGAAGTGCTGGTCATTTATTTGCCATTCCACTATTTATCTTATATTTTACTCTTAGTACTTCTTTGCTATCATGAAAACTTTTTCTTAGCTCAATTGTTTTGAAACATTTAATTTTTAATTAATTTGAATTTAATTTTCTGAATATTGCTTAATCTTAATTTTTGTTCTAAGATTTATACTATATCTTTGACTTACAATTTATTTAAAAGACATCGTATGATATCATCCAGTATTAGAAACTTTAAAAAGTATATTTCCATTTTCTGTTGACTTTATATTACTTCTTCCCTGTCTTTTATACACACATACACACACATATATGGGGAAAAACACGTGTATAACTCAACATAAGATTGGTACTGTTTCATAGAAATCTGCAATGACCTTTAAATAAGGGTTCATTTAATATATTTTTATATAGTCCTGCATAACTATCATATTGAGAGCTCTTTATTGTTCATCCAGGAGCATACTGCAACTTCTCTTGCCTTTTGAATTATGCTCTTTGTTATTTCCTCTATGCTACTTCTGTAGGTATTAAAATATTTCAAGTTTGTATCAGTAGAAAATCTTACTTTTAGTTTTCAAAGGTGTGTTTGCTAAGTATAAAATTCAAAGAAGACAGATCTTTTCTTTCAGTCCTCTAGTCTAGTTTCTTACACACTTGGTCCTTTTTTTTCTAATGTGGAATAAGGTGCTATTTAATTTTGTTCTTCCATAGCTAATATTTTTTATTTATATGCTTTAATGATTTTTTCTTTACAATAAGTTTTGGACAATTTCATTTTTGTGTATCTTGGCATGATTTTAATTAAATTTCTTGTGCAAAAGGTTCATTTTTCTTGGAAATGTGGTATTATAAGATGAACTAAATTCAGAAATTTTAAATCTTTAAATATTTATTCCCTACTCCTTTCTACTTTGAGAATTCTAATTATATGAATATAAGTTTCTTGGTTTTGACACAGTGAACTATTATGACTGATCTGTAAACTGTTTCATTTTTATTTTGGACAATTTTTGTTATATTCATTTATGTTTGTAAATAATTTATTTTCAATTTGCAATCTATTAAAAATTAAAATAAAATGAATAAATGTGCAACAAGCAAAGAAAAATAAAAATAAAACATGGACTCTGACGATCAGAACAGTGACTGAACAGTGGGATAGAACAGTGGGCTTTTGGAAATTAACCAACTCTATAATCTTTGGCAAATTAGATTCCTAATCCCACTTTTTGTCTTCTGTAAAATGGAGAGATTAACTATTTCAAACAGGTTGTTAAGATATTACATCTGGCCTAATTGCCTGGCACATTGGTCAAGAAATAACAAACATTTGAAAGCAGGTAGCTGTTACTTTTACTCAGATCCTGGAAACATGGCTGCTCCTACTGTATGGAAAGACAAGGAAATAGGAAGTGAATGCATTACAACACAAGGGGCAGGGTTTCATCCATCAGAGTTTCTCTGTTCCACCATAAGCATGAGTCAGGAGAAAAGTAACCCACCACCATCCCATATCTGCCTATCCAAAACTCATCTCCTACACTCTTAAGAAAAACCAAAAGCTAGTTTGTTGCCAAATGTCTTCTTTCATGCGCTGTACGTTTAATTTGTGAGCTAGAAATTGCAGGGGAAAAGGGGCCTGCCTTCTACACCTAAATCACAGAGGACAAAAAAAAAAAAAAAAACACCAAGGGGAGAGATAAGGTTACACGACAAAACTGGAACTCAAGAGTTCATAGCACTTTAAATAGCAGGCAGATAAGTAGGTGGTAGACAGCAAAATACTTTCAACATCATAAAGCAGGAATGGCTGCCACAATAAAATGTAATTCCCTAAAATTATCAACACAAAAAAAATAATCCGTTTCTTTTCTCTAAATATGCACACATGTACCAACTGAGCATTTCTTTATAATTGCAAATTAAGCTGGATGTCAGCTGCCCTGCACTCTACGAACATAATATGACAAAGTTCTTTGAAATTAGCAAGATAAAATGATGAGAAACATCACCTCGAAATTAACAAGAATCATAGTGTCCAGCCAAAGCTTCCTCTATAGATAAATTCCCGACCTTCCATATTCCTGACACTTCAAACCCACCTTCCTCTAAGGAAATTAACAGGAATTCCCGCAGCAACCAACCTCTGCAGTCGGCCAAGAACAGAATGACCCTTGCTCAAAGACCCTAGGCACCGCGGGTCCAAGCTCCTCCCTGGAGCTGCTAAGTGCCGCGTCGACTCCAAACTACCTCACTTCCTTTCCGTCCTCCCTCCCACGCTCGACCTTCGATATAGCTTGCCAACTCTTGCCAAAGACAGAGAAGGTAGGAACAGCATAGATTTTCTACTCTTTGTCCGAGGAGTATCGGGGCCACACATACCCGTCCCTATTACGATCACATCAAACTCCGAAGGGAGGCTATCCGCCATCTTGACAGGAAGCGTCATGTGACTGTTGCTCGTGGAAATGAGATTAAATTAGGTGTTCCTCCTTTAGAAAGCGAAAGGAAAAGAGTGCATTCTGGGATTTGTAGTTCTTTGGTGGCGTGTTCAGGTAGACCGCTCTCCTATATAAAGCGTTCCCGAGAATGTTAAAAGTTCCTTTCATTTTTTAGGTTAAGTACAGTAGCTCACTTCCCTTGGCGATTAGGGCTAGGAAAGAATGTACGTTTGTTACTCTGCTTACTAGAATAAACGTGAGAAAACCAAGAGTTGTTGGGAGACAAGGACCGCAGAATAAATTGGAAATCACATGCTTCATGAACATAGGAGATTTTTCATTTCGGCCTGAAAACTGCCTCCCCTCCCAAATGCCTGTATTTATGTTTTGGTCCCTGAGGCATGATTTTTCACACTAATGCTTTCAAACTGTGTTCCTTGTCTTTTTTGTCTCTTTGTCTAACCAGGAAAACCACACATCTGGTTTCACCAAAATAACAACTCTCATCAAGCTACCTTTTCTCTAGCTAGTCCAAACCAGACTGTGACAATATACATTGTGAAATTAACCTTGCTTTACCAGACAGGGGTAAAAGGTGTGCAAGCATAGTAGATACTTGATATGTTATGTCACCATCTGAATTTCTGCACCAATAATAAATCCACACAAAAAATTTAAAAAATTAAAACTAAAATAAATAAATAAATCCACACAATATTCTGCTAATGAACTTCTACAGACAGGAATAAGGTAAAATGGCCTATATAGTAAACTGATTGTATTTGATGAAGTACATTTGCTTGTCTATGCCAAGCACTTAGCATAATTCTCATATTTTCTTAAGTTATGTCACCTCCCACCCACTCTCCATTGTTTAACTTTCCACTCTGCAGCAGGAAAGCTGATAGAGGAGAAGAATGCATTGCTATGAAAAGGATACATCTTTGATCTCAAAATCATTTGTGTAGTTATTTTTCTATAATTTTCAAAAAGTCATTTGTTTATTTTAAAACGGAAGGAATTGCATTCATTTAGCATGAATAACATGATGTTTTGAAATGTATCTAGAGTGGAATGGCTAGTTAGTTAATGTATGCATTTTTAGACTTGTATAGTTATTTTACAAATGTTTCAAGATAAAATAAACAGAAGGTATGGAAAGTGGGACCTTCCACTACACTTCCTGTCCTCTATGCTGCTTTTTATCCCCAGGGCACAATGTTTTCTTTCTGTTCTTTGTGACCATGCTCACATTTGCCGTTCCTTCAGCATAGAATGCTATTCCTATTCTCTAGATAACGTTTATAGCTAGGATTAGGGAGGAGATATATTTAACCTAATTTAAATAGTACACAACATAGAAATGTAGCAAAACATCATGATGCCTTATAGCTGGAGGCCAGGGAGATAACTCAGTAGAATAAGTGCTTGCCTGGCAGGCACAGGGTCCTGAGTTCAATCCCCGGTACCACAAAAAAAAAAAAAAAAAACCTCAAAATGATGCCATATAAATATGAACAATTTTATGTGTTGGTTCAAAATATGTTTACAAATTATGAAATAAAGCAAAAAAGAGCTTTGCAGGAAAATATATGAATTTTTTATGTATTTAGTACAGGATGTGTAGGATTTCACAACACAGTTCAAACTCGTAATGATCCTCCTGTTTTCAGACTCCCAAGCACTGGGATTACAGGTGCACCACCATGCCAGTCTCTGTTATTGCCTCAGCGCGTCCCAGGTGCTGGGCTGGCACAGCAAAATATATGAGTTTTTGAGAAAATTTTCTTTCTTTCTTTTTTTCTTTCTTTTTTTTTTTTTTTGAACCAGTGATTGAACTCAGGCCCTTGCGCTTGCCAAGGAAGCGCTTATTCCACTGAAGAGATAACTTTCAAAGGAAGAATCTGCTCTTCTTCAGCTCTTCCTTCATTCATCTCGTCTCTATAATGGGCTAAGTTTCCGTGCATGGTATTACCACTCTGTCATAGCCTGGAAAATTGCATTGAAATTATTTGTCTGTATATAAATTCAAGCACAGTATTCTATCCCTATGCATATAACAAAAATATACATGGAGAAATGCAGCACTGTAAACTTAAAGCCTAGGTATGACAGAGAGTAAGTCTTGATCCATACACTGTGTAATCTAAGCCTCTACTCATAGTAAATATTCAATAGATGCTTGAATGGAGCACAGTTCTGACTTTCCTAATGCAGACAGTAAGCACTATCCGGATAAGGAGCCAATAGTGTTCACATCTTCATTTATTCATCACTGCCATATATCTTATAATTTTAAGATGTTTGATACATTTAACATTGAAAACTTCTATGAAAATTATTTGAAAATGTGTCTTGCTGTGATCTTGATTGTATTTCTATTGTACATTCCATAATCACTAGCAATACTGTGAAAGTTTCATTAATTTTTAATGGATTATCCTGTTACATTGAACAATTTTCTTGTCATATGGTTCTCTGATGAATATTTCATGTAAAGGAGATTCTCCTGACAAGTATCATGTATTATTTGCTAAAACACCACTTCATTTGCCTTTCTTATGAAAAAAAACTCTTGCGCATTCTCCAAAGTAAAATAGATATTGTCTGTGAGACTCGTTGTATATCAATGGAAATGGAAATTAATAGATTTTTGATAGTAAACATATGACACTTACCCAAATATATGCTAACAGTGAGGAGCTGTGGATGTACAGTTAAAACCATTAAAATGAAAGGGTATCTTCCTTTGGAGATGTATATGCATGTGTGTTTATGATATACTTATCAATATAGGTATCTAACTTGACACTTTTTGGTTGGGTCCCACAAATTCACAGTGGCTAAATTTGCATATTACCCTAAGGGATAAATGGAGGCTTGGAATTATAGGAATCACCCTTTTGAGATTTCCATTAAATTTTATTTTTTTATTCATTTTATTGAGAAAAAAATTACAATGAGACAGTTTCAAAACGTACACTGTATATTGTTGTCTTTGTAGTAGTCATTCATAGCTCAATATGCCAGCATGATATCCTGTCCAAACATTAGTACAAATCCTTCTTATTATTGAATTAATAGAAAGTGGCTATATATCTATCCTAACAATTTTGTATATACAGATACAAAATTGTCCTTAAAAAATGTCCTCCATTTATATCTCCTTTTTATGATTAGTTTTGTCAGAGAAGGGTATTATATTACCATCCAAATATTGTAGATGCATGAATTCAGCAAAATATTCCAATATAGTCCAGTAGTCCACAATAGTAGTGTGTTATCCATAGGACTGGCAATGTCCGAATCTGTTGACTTGAGCCTTCCACAGCTCTGCATAGTAACGTGGTCTCACTTTTCATACTTCATTTCTATACTTTTCTGCTGGATGAAAAAGACCAAGATAAAGCAAGACAAATATATAAAGAAATGTAAATTTTGTATCTGACAAGGTCAGTCAAGTCCCCTCAGGAATTATCCCAAAACCCTGTACCACACTTTCTGGATCCTTTGTCAATGTCAGCCATGTGGATGAGTCACAGCAATTGCTTGACCAATTTGCTCTCTGTGAGAACCTGAAGAATCTTTTTTTCTCCATGTGATGTGCTTTAGGCACACACTACATCAACAATCGCATAACTCTTTGGCCCCATAATCTCCTTGATCAGAAAATTTGGGACACAACTGAGTTAAATGATGGTACAGCACAGATTCTCTTATGTTCTGAGTCCTCATTGACTTTGAAAGGCTAGGGCAAAAATGTTGGCTGTCCTTGAAGCCCTCCTTTTTCTCTAATTTTTGGTCTGGAAACATAGGTTGTTAACTCTCTAGAAGAAAAGCTTATTATTGCCCTTAACATATGCAGTTGAGTTTAACCTAAATATCTGTCTGAATATCAAACATCTTAGGCATAAGATGGAACATGTATTTTTAATCAAATATTGATACATTAAACTTTAAGTCTCTACAGAATATGAAAAAGAATAAAAAATGAAAAAAAAATTACAAATATGAAAAAATAGTTACATATTTTTATGGAAAAATATAGAAATCCAACCATATACAACATTGTACAGGACAGTCCTGTGACATTTTTTTCTTTTCTCTTTATTTCATTTATTACCCTTTTTTAAAAAACAAAAAAAGAAAAGAAACAAAGCATTTATGTGAGATACAATCTGGCTATAATGGGTATGTCATGACAAGCAGTACATATTTAGAAGACCAGAATGAAAGGCATTTCAAGCATGACCCCACTATTACACATTGCTATCTTCAATACAGTCGCTCAGTTCACAGGTATGAGCATATATAGTTAGTCAGGGTAAGAATCCCACCATGTAACTGCTAGTTTCAACAAGATGCTGATGTTTCTCAGGATCATTGCCTTACCTGTGTGTAAATGTATGGCTTTGCCCCGTCATGTTTCCAAGCTTTGCTCCTTGCTCTCTTTTCATTGTCTAATTCTCAAGTTCTCACTTTCCTTTTAATTGGGTTATACCTTTTTATTTCTATTTCTTCTTTTGAGATCTTATACTAGGCAGACTAAGCGATATTTACACATCTAGGTCTGGTTTATTTCACTTATGAGTATATCTTCAAGTGGCATCCTCTTAAATATGAAGGCTACTAGTTTATCATTCTTTATACCTGACTAATACTCCACTGTATAAAAATGCCACATATTTTCATCCATTACTCAAGTTATGGGCATCTTGGTTGTTTCCAGGATTTGGCTATCACAAATTATGCTGCTAGAAACATAGATACAAATATATTACTATGATACGACCATTTCAGTTTTCTCCAGGAAAATTCCCCATAGGGGGATACCTAGATTGAATGGGATTTCCAGTCCTAGTTTTTTAAGGAATCTCCACACTGATTACCATAATGGTTGCACCAGTCTACATTCACACCAGCAGTGGAGAAGGGTTCCTTTTTCCTCACAGCCTCTCCAACTTTTGCTGTTAGTTGATTTTTTTATGATAGCCATTCTTTGT